TAGCCAACAATTTTTATACATTGCCTTCACAAACAATTCCAAACACCTCTCCAACAAAAAACTTAAACTCACACGCTATAAAAACACACCCGAAACAAAAACAAAATAAATTTTGATACAATTAATCAACAGAAATGTGAAAAATTAACCAAATCGACAGGCGGCACAGCTAATGAATGGGTAAAATGGAAAAAAAAAATTGGGTGAATGAGTTTGGGAACGAGCGAACAATATGAAATGATTTCTAGTTAAGTGGAGTACATAATGCCATAAATATAGCTCACGTTGAGCAATTGAAAAAGTATCAATCATTAGCATAAATGGGAGTTGGAGCTGAAGCTGGAGTTGTCGTAAAACCAGTTAGCTATAAATAGTAATTAGCTTAGTGTGTATTTGTTTATACGATGGTAAAGTCAATTTAATGTGATTTTAATAGAAGCTAATTAAGCCAATTAAGTTAAAGTATTCCAATTGGATTTTAAATGAGTTCGCCTAACAGATTTTGTACGTGTAAAATAAAACAAAATATATGATTGATTATATCAAAATTTAAATTTAAATATATTAGTATATGTTATAAGCTTATTCCAATTTGGAATTAAAAATTTGCGAATTTGCTCAAGGTTATCTAAATTGAAATATTTGTAATGAGTTCTTCTTTTTCTTATGCTCAAGATTCTAGGATCGTTAACAAAAAATTATATACCTTTAAATTTATTGTTGACTTAAGGTAAAAATACTTTTCCTCTAACTTATGCACACGCTCAGTAAATTTCAATAAATGTTTAATACTTTTTAAGGCTCCCACATCTCAAATTCAATTTTATCAATTAAATTAACTATTGCAATCTGCTCCACACCTGAGTAAAGTCTACAGCTAAACGTGTTATTATTAATTTATGCTCAGCTAGCATATCGCTTCCTATAGTAGATTGCCTCATTAATCGCCCACAAATTGATTGGGCGTCTCCGGTCTGTTGTTTGGCAACTGTGCGTATGCTTAATGCGAGCATTACCGTTACCTTTGCCTCTGTCGCATTATATTGCATGTTAATAAGCGCAAAGTTGACTTGAAGGGGACGCAGAGCAAAGACAAGTTATTTGCAAAGTCCAGACCGAATAGCTAACAGAATTGAAAGCTGCTCAGCACAAGCAAATGTGCAGGTAACACACACACACACACACACACACATAGACATTGGGCATGGCCTTGTCGTTGCGTTGGCATTACTTGTAATGACAGAGCGAGTCACCGTTATTGTTGCAGCCACAAGATACATATGTGTATGTATGTGTGTGTGTGTGCGTGTGTAATATATAGCTATATCATGCCTTGGGTTAGTTAAACTTGTTGGCGGGATTGCAACGCCCAATGGACTAGGAAACTAAACCACAAGAAAAAGAAGGAAAAAAACAACAACAACAACAACTCTCGAGTCTGACCCATGACGCAGTTGTTGCCTCAATTATTCTGATACTGTGCGTATTAAGTTTTACTTTTGAAAGCCAGGCCTCAGGACTGGTTTTGTGGTCAGCCATGCCAGATCTCTATGTGAGTGGAACAGGGATGGAGCTAGGTAGTCTCAAGCTCGGCATTTGCACCTGAACTTGGACGCATGTCTACGCACGTTTGAAGGTCGTTCGAATTCCATAAGATACGTATGTGAGCATGCTATAACGGATACGCAGACGTAATTACAGTTATATATGTGTGTGTGGGTAAACTTTGAAGCATAAACAGGTAATTATTTGCCATTAACATGCAGAAGAGTCATTGGAATTCTATTTATACGACAACTTCGAGTCAGGAGACTTGAAGTCTCTTAGATTCTTGGAGCAATTGACTGAAATTTTGTAAAAATTTTTAGATAATTTAATTAAAATCCTAAGTGAAAACTTTAAATTGAAAATTTATTTGATTATATAATTTTATTAAAATCGAATTAAAAATAATGAAAAAGTTTCAGCTAAATCATAGGTTTATAAACGAAATTTTATTCATAATTTATTATTACAAACATTTAGCAAATTTCTGTTTAATTCTGTTCATTATGCAAAAATTATTGCTGATTGCATTTTAATCCTCTAGTTAATGTAACGCTCAAATGGAAAATACTTTTAAATAAATATTCGCTAAACATTCGTATTATTGCAGCAAAATATAAGCCCCTATTTAATGTATTTCATGTTAAGCTTTTCCACAGAGTTCAAGCCTTATTACGCCCGTTCGCCTTGCACTCACGTTTACCAGCTGCTGTTGCTGCCGCCGGTTTGAGCTGTCCAGAATCTGTGCTCATAATACGAATAAGAAGCAAAAATAAGAATAAATAACAAACTGAAATACCACTCAATGCTGTGCAGGAAATTCTTGAGGCATGGCAACGCCCTGACAGCGCCCAGACAAGTTTCACTTTCATGGCAGCACCGACAGCCGCAACTACAAATACAACTACAACTACAACAGCAACAGCAACATTTTGCTCGACAAAATTATATAAATGCTGTGCAAAAATAATTCCATTGCCATAAAAAGTGCTATAGTGTGTGTGTATTTGCGTGAGTGTGTGTGTGTGTGTGTGCGTGTGTGTGTGTGTGTGTGTGTTCGTAGCATATGACGGGTTGTGTGTGCATTTAATAGGTGCAGTCAACTAGCATTTGGTTCTTCGTGTTGTTGCCAGCAAAACATTTCAAGTATGACCCATACAATGCACAGTGGAGCAAGATGATACGAAAAAATAAATTCTGAATTAGTCACCATTTACATAAATTATATATTATTATGCAATTAATCAATTTTTGCTTAACACAAAAAACTGTTAGCTTAATCTTATAGAATAAAATTACCAGCATTAATTAAAAATATATATTTATTAAATACTAAAATAATACTGCTGTATAAAATAAAAGCTTTTAATACTTTTGATATTTATATAAATTCAAAAAATATATATAATAAAAAATAAATGTTTTTGTTTTTAAATATATGTATAATGACTAATTCTAATATATGTATATAAATACAAAAACATATATTGGGGAAATAACATCATTGAACTTTTTAGAACAGCAGCCAAAGGGTTTAATAATTTTTTGTCATAAAGCCATGCAGTACTTTTGAGTATATTTTAATTGAAAAGATTTACCCAAACTTATAAAATTTTGAAAAAAAAAAATAAAAAATAAAAAAAAAAAATAAAAATAATTTTCAATTTACATGAGTTTTAATATTGTATATATATTTTGTATGGCTATATAAAAATTATCCCTCAGAACAGTCCTTAACGGTAACTAACATATATACGTAATATACCTCATTACCAGTATACATATATCATAGGCATATCCAAAGCAAGTCCTGCTTCCTTGTCTTATTCTGCAAAAGAATTTCGCCTCATGCTGCTAGCTCTGCGACCACTGTGCAGCTCAGAGCCCCCAACAGACGCTGACACTAGCCAAACGCCCCTGCACAATGTGTTCGTATACCCGAGGCCTGTCCACAGCTTAGGAGCTGATGTTTGTCCAGTGGAGCACAGACCGATCAACTGGTTGCTGTTGTTGTTGTTATTGTTGTTGGGCTGGTGGTGCATTTGAAAGTGGTTTTTGGGGCCATTGCATAAGTGCACCAAATTCCAACAACAAACAAGCAAACAGCCGCAAGCAACAGCAAAAGTAACAACAACAACAACAACAAGCAGACCTCGTTTCTAATGGTATCTAAATCGGTAACAATTTTTACTATATCATTCTTTGGGCCCGTCCGCTTTTTATAAGCCAAAGTGTTGACGTAATGCGCTGCGATTATTGCTGAATATTTGATTTGGCTGAGATTGGGCTCCAATTGGAGTCCAATTGAAGCGGAACCCCAAGCTCATTGAATTACTTTGTGGCTAAACAAAGACAGATCGCATCGAGGGTTTTTTCGGCACTTTATTGCATACATACATACGCACACAAGTGTATTTACAAATATATATTGTGTATATATATAAATTTAACTGTGTATATATATGTATATGGTGTATATAGTAATTAGATTGACATCGGGAGTGACTGATTTATTTGGCAGTAACAAAATTGACATTGTCCACAGACATCAGTCGCAATCTCTCTCTCGGCAGCCACACACTCACACACATACAAAATATAGTCCCAGGGTGCCGCGCCTACTTCCTGCCCGTATAGTCGATGCTGTAGGAGCCCGTGTAGATGTTCAGATTACGCAATGCCGGATGATGTTGCTCGGGCAGGCCAGCGTAGGGCCGCTGCTGCGGCTGCTGTGGTGCATAGTAGGGCTGTGGGGCTGGCGGCTGGTAGAAGCGCGGCTGTGGTGCAGGCGGATTGTAGTATTGTGGTGTGGGATTATAATACGGCCGAGCCGGAGCTGGAGCAGGCGCATATTGCGGCTGCTGCTGCTGGCCACGCCCAATGTCGCTCAGGCTAAACTTGCTGGCGGCAATGGGTCGATTGTACTTCTGATCCTTGTAGTAGACAGACGGATCCTCGCGATACTGGCCATCGTCGATTTCATTGGGTCCCAGCGGATACGGATTGCTGTTCGTGAGCGTCGGCGGCGGCACATTGATGTGACTGCCAGCGGGCTCGAAGCCTCGCTTGCTGGCCCCATACTCGATTTCGCGCACCTTGCCCTGATCGTCCACATAGCCGTATTTGCCGTAGACTTCGCCGTTCGGGTACTTTGTTTCGATTTTGAAGCTCTTGTCGGCTGCCTCATAGCCGTACGTATAAGAGCCGTCGTCATTGTGCTTATCGATCTGCTTCAATATGGGCACGGGCGTGGTATAATCCTTATATTGCGCGTACGCCATGTGTGCGCCCAGCGCCAACAGCAACAGGCCATGCTTAATGTACTGAAAAGAGATTTCAAGGCATATAAAAATTAACGCAAATTATTTTACTTTTTTTTTAGTTTTGATGCCCTATTCTTCTAGAAAAATTACTTTTTAATATATAATTAATTTAATTACTAATTTAAATATATGAAAAAAATAATGCATAGTTTATATATGAAGAATTATATTTAACGTTTAATTTACTATTAAAAATTAAAAACAAAAAAATTTACACTTTTTTAAGGAATTACAAGCTTTAAAAAATGCTTAGATATAATAGAGGTAATAAAATATATTTACAAGGAGCAAATAAAAACATAATTCATGATTTTAGTTCAACATACATATTGATTTAAATATATAGAATAATTGTTTTAATATAATAATACAATCAATTCATATAGAATTTATATACATAAGCAAATTAAAGGAACTGCCCGTAAATTGCTAAATATATATACAGTTTAACAAGCTTAAAAATTTCATAAATATTTGGAACAAATTAAAGTCTAAGCAGCATCATATATTATTAACAGTCCCAAAACTCAAACTAAAATGTTTGTATATTAAAATTATTATTAATTTTCCAATTATAAACGTTAAATAGTATTTTGCTTTTAGCTCAGCTCAGTTTGTATTGCTTAACTACGCGTTAGCGAACGAATGGAAAGTGTTTTTTATTGCATAATTATATTTCCAATTGGCTTAAATTGATTAACATTTAGTAGCTAATTAGCTACAGTTAGCTGCAGTTGACTGCATTCCATTAACAGCTTATCAAGGACGTTGCTGTCGGTTGATTTACATACATACATGTATGAGAGTATATGTATATACATATATGCATTTCGTTGTAGTTGTATAGATATTTAGAGAACTTCGCTCAAATCAAACTTTAAACACTATTTATTGAAACCAGTTAACAATTGTCAATTGCATTCGTAGTTAGATTATACTCTAAATGCATTTCGTCTATTCTCGCTTTTCACTTTTCTTTCTGTCATTTTGTTTTGCTCACCAGTTTCAGCATTTTCTCTGTTTCGTTTTCACCAATCTCACGCCTGGGCTTCAATTTGCTTAAGTGCGACTCGTGACTCGAGACTCTGCGCAACGAAACGACAACTCAAAAGAAAATCAGGGCGTGCAACGCTTTTATACCACAAATCGAGCACTGAGCACAACAGCAACAGCAGCAGCAACAACAAAATATAATAAAAGCTAAATAAGTAAATTTCAAGTAAAACTCTCGAGCCGAAGTCGAGCGAGACTCAATTACTACATTGGCACAGGTGGGCAGCGATCAGCTGCGCATTATATATACACACATATACATACGAAGCCAGTGCCCCGAGCCGAGAATCGAGTGCTTATGGAATGCCCCAATAGAGACAGCACCCGATCGCCCCTTGGAGAACGCTATCGGCAATCAGGTTATTAAAGTCAAAACAAAATTCTTAGCGTCAACAATTTATGCTGCCAGCCCGCGCACACGCATATGCAATGAGCACGCCCCGCGCAGCGCTCGCCCTCCTAGGGTAGTGCATGCGGAAGCTTTCTGGAGCAACACTCAACTCAGAAGTCTAGCAATTTCAGTTATGTAAGGCATTTGCCTGGACAACATGCCGATTGGCCATTTAGCGAGATGAATGACTAATAATAAAAACCAAAGCGTTTGCTCTGCCCCTTCGGTTAGCCATTTCTTTGGGCTGTTTTTTTCGCAACTAGCCAAAAGCGAATCGGAATGAAAGAGCCAACTGACCTAGTCAATGCTTTGCAATAGCCACAAAACTGGTTGCTGGCAGAGCAATAGAGAAATGCAAATTGTGTATACATAGTAGTATACCCTGTAGCCAGAGATAGCTGTGCGATAGCGCAACAGTTGTTTAGAAGAAGGTTGTGCATAGCATATACCCTGTAAATTATTTTTATTTAGCTAGCAATTACTCATTGATGTCAAGTTTATCTATTCTTAGCTATAAGTGGAGCCGAATTTAGCATGATTTATTAAAACACTTGAGAGCTCTATAGTCGAGAATGGCCGACTAGAAGCTACCTTGCAGTCTGCACAGACTTGCTATTCGAGTCATTCTAAGTTTCTGTTTATTGCGCAGTTTTTGGTCTAATCTTTGACAACTCTTGAATAACTTAAATTCTAGTTATTCATCAGATAAAAAAAATTAGCAGAGCGTAATAAGAACATCCATATGCGTACATTAGCCAAAGTAAAAATCAATGCCATTCAAATTTAGCAAACGGGTAAAGGGAATATCCATAATCTTGGTATTCAAAAAAGTAACTTTTCGCCTTTATATTTCTCGACTATTATTGAAAATCGATAAATAGAATAAGTTATAGAAATATCAAATTTGTAATAAACATTTCAAGTTGCAAATCTCTGCAGCTTACCAGACCTCATATGGCTATGCTTTTAACGACTCAGCTCGTCTTATGTATATATACTCCCATATGTATTATAGGGTATATTCAAGTCGCTAATTTATATTATTTTGAATAAAGCTGTTAATTTGTGTTTAAGAGCTAGTTTATTTATGAGGCGTATACTTAATATGTGTCTCTCGTATTTGTGAGCTTTAGAGCCTGATTGAAGTGTTTTTCTATGCTAATGGACTTTGGCCAAATGATCTTAGAATTGTTATTCAACGTCCTTGAACAAATACTTGGCTGGCAAATATCGAAATACTTTAGTAAAACGATCCTCCAGAACACTGTCAAATGTTTGGGTCAGCACGGGACGCAAGATTTCAAACAGAACGCGCCAATTCTCATTGAAGATCTCGTTGGCACTACGTTCCAGTTCCTTGTTGCCATTGAATAGATTGGTTAGATTAATGCGAATGTTGTCGATGCGTGCGATGTCCGTCTTAATTGCGGTCACATTCATGAATGTGATGCCCTCTGCCTGCAGTGGCCGCATTCTGAGTGCCACATAGAACTCCAGATTGTCTGAAAAGCAGATACATAGTTTATTTACTTCTTTCCATAGAATCATGGGATATACTAACCCAATTTGGAAGTCAAAACACCAGTGCTGTTAAGATTGAGTAGAAGTATATGTCCCTTCAGCTTGTACTTGCTTGTCAAATCGATTTGCGTTAGATGCACATGAAAGCCGAGATTATAGTGACCAGTGTTGTACAACGTGCTGCAAACAGGAATGTTTTTTATACACAATTCAGTTGTTCATTACTTGACACTCGCTACTTACGTGCTATTCAGTATCTTGGCCTGGCTGAGACCCACTGTGGTCATATTTCGCAGCTCCACGCGCACATCCACATTTGGTGGCACTCGCTGGGCAATGCGCAAGCGACTCACCCGAAATGGATCCAGAGAGCCAACATCGCTGAGGCCCGGCACGCCTGCATATAGACAGAAAGTGGTTAGTGTTGGCCAATGCTATCCTATTGGAGTTTGCAACTCCTGCATAAATGATTTTTGGTGGTGGACAACGTATATGTTATATTGTATTATATAGAGAATTTATAGTGGTGGAAAACTGCAGTATATACACATGTCCATACCACTCACCATTTCGCCAGTGTTGAAAGATGTTTTCAATATTCCTAGCCAAGCAGTCGTTACTCTGGCTATCCTTCAAAGCGCAAGGCTTTATAAATGTAGCTAAAAAACAAGTCGAAAATAAATTCAAAATTAAGCCCAAAAGAAATCATATGCTATAGTAATACAAACGTGGCTCGGGCAGAAACTTTTGCGCTTGCACCACAACAAAGCACAGTGGTGCAGCAAGTGCCAAATAGAAGACAACTATCAGATGGGGCTGCATTGCTACCGCTTCAGTTAACCGCTCGCCGTGGACTGGCGATCAACAAAAAAATACAAAATATGTTACTCAACCAATGACGTTAGCAAAAAGCGTTAAGCTTTTCGATCGGTGCTTTAGTATATGTATTATGTTGTATGAAGAGCGAGGGTTTAATAGCCCCGCAGCCGCAGACCTTGATCTGAGTGGCATCGTCAATCATTTACAATATGCGCGAGAGAGAAAGAGAGAATCAAAACCTTTTGACACACAAATATCGTGTAACTAAAGTTGAATAGCTCAAGCTAAGAGAAACATGAATAAAATTATTCAAATTGTTCGCAAGTAAATGTATAAAAATTAATCATAAAATAGATAAACATCTGTTTCAAATGGCTTCCTCCAGACTAAAATTATAATATGACGCACTATCAGTACAAATATTTAATATTTCCAGGGTATAATAATCAATTGATAGAAAGCTAAATACATAGGTTATTTGAATACCTTTAACTAATTTATATTTTAAAAAAGTTATTAAATTTTATGAAGACTCTGATAATATATACCTGAAATAAATTTATATATGGTAATTTTTAGAAAAGTAAATAAACAGCTAAGTCTCTGCTACTCAACAAGTTTCTTTAATGTTTTTATAAAAAAAAAATATATATATATATAAAAAAAATTAATTACAATATTCACAGAGAATTTTTGGAGCACCTTTTATATATGATCAAATCAATTACAACAATTTTAAAATTTATTCATACAAAATAAATGGGCTCTGCCGTACGCCTAAACGGTAAGCGTATATCAAAAATTAATTTATAAATAACAATCAATTAATCCGAAATTAAAATTAGGCTGTGTAAAAACAATATCCCAAGTTCTAGTTTGGCTGAGTCTATCTTGTTATAAAATTGATAGGGTATTAAATGGATTCAAGCAAATTATCTACGTCAATTGCAATCAAATACTCTCATTGCATTGCATCTTAGTTCAAGTCAGCTCAACATAAAAACCAATGAAAAGGTCAAGGTCGTCTAGTGCACTCGCAGCTAATTTAAATATGAGCGAAATAGATGCCAAGAATAGGTGCGAAAGAGATGATAGATGAAATGCAAATGTTGTTCTTGAATGCTCATATGGCAAGATCACCCTGTATGTGCAGACAAGTCTAACGCCACAGAACTCGTTTATTTTTGCAGTCAATTAAACCAAATCTGTGAATTTGAGAAACAAAACAATAAAATAACAATATATAGATTTATATATAACGATATATATATTTATATATATATATATATAATTCTGGATTTTTGAATTTCATTTGGAGTATAAGATATAATGACTGCACTCCCGTAATATCAGAACAATCGTCGCTTTCAAGCTAAGCTAACAATATTTTCTTTGTGTTTGCACTTGCACTGCATTTCAATTTAGAAATGTACAAAGTAATAAATTTTAATTGTTTCTTACTTTTGGGTATATCCATGTTGATAGCTCTGACTAATGCCTCCAATTATCTGGCCGATAAACGTAAGTAACAGCAACTAAAATAATTATTGCTCACTCAAAATTCTTTTTAGCTAATTTCTTAACGCCTTGCGTCCTGGAGGATCCGCAGTTTGGCAAATGTCTGTCCAGCAATTTGCAAAACATGTTCGTCGAGTGGAGGGATGGTGTACCCGGCACAAATACAGTAGGCTCCCTTGATCCACTTCTCGTGAAGCGTATCAAGTTCTCGCAGGACACAAACAGCGCCATTGCGCTCAATGTGGATATGCAGAATGTTTATATCAAAGGCGCTCGACTGCTGACAGTCAAAGAGGCCAGGTGAGCTATCATACCCTTTGTTATAATATATTTGGAATTGAGAATCATCAATGCACTTTAATTGCTTCTTTAGCTACAATCCCTCTAAGCACGTAGCAGCAGGTATGGTATTTCTGCCCAAATTGCGTTTTGATTTTGACTACAAGGTGAAAGGTCAAGTGCTGGCCCTACCTCTGAATGGCCACGGCAACGGTCTCTTCGAGATAGGTAAGTTAGGTAAATAGTTATAGCTAAAGAGCTAAAAGCATTATATTCAATTCCAGAAAATTTGGTTATCAGAATGGAAATGGCTGTCAAGCCGCGCAGCTCTGATGTAGGAAATTTCGCCGATGTGCAACGTGTGAAAATCTCGATACCATCGATCGGCAATTTCCGCATCAAGCTAAACAATCTATTCCCCAACAGTCCCGAGCTGAATGATGCAGCCCATACGATATTCAATGAGAATTGGCGTGAACTCTACGAAGTGCTTCAACCAACAATTCAACAAACCTTAGAAGCGATCATACTGGATCGTACTAAGAAGATTTTTAACTATGTTCCAGCCACCTACTTCATACAAGATTTTCACTGATTCATAGATAGAAATGTTGTCAAATTTTGATGGTAAAGTTGAAATATATTCTCTGTGTAAATATTAATGTGGATGTGATTAAATCTAATATATGGCTAATCCCTAAAACCAATACATGTAGAGCAAGGTAGAGAAAGGGGCAGTAGGGGAAGGCGAAATTGAGAAACACAGAAAAGAAATAAAGAGAAATTGTGTAGAACAAAGGAAGAGAAGCAGTGTGAGAGAGAGAGAGAGAGAGAGAGAGAGGTAGAGGGCTAAAGAGACATAAAAATAACCTCAATTAGAATACAATTCCAAAGGGAGACAATACGTAATAAATACAACAGATCAATAAATAACATAACTAGTAAAAATTATATAACATGCTCTTTAAAATAAATACATTTATATATTTCAATAGATGCACATCTGCAATATAGCTATAGATATTATTTGCACAATAAATTGAAGAATACATTTTTTATCTCAACTTATGCAATTATAATGTAATTTTCAGATTAGATGTAAAATTATTTATAAATACATAGTAAGACATACACATATATATACATATAAACCCGTATTGACCGCCTAGACACTTCGATTTAAAACGGCCTGACATTAACAATTTCTGGTTTAATTGTGAGCTCAAAGCTCAGCGACGAGAACGTACTGCCTCCATTCCGTCCGCATCTCATATATGGTGTGGCACAGTTTGATGTAATCGAATCGTACTGTCAGTCGGATTCGCATTTAGATACTCGCCGGGCGTCATGATGAAAAGTTCGTTTAGCTTTAGCTGCGGCCTGCTTGCTGCAGTTTTTATACTGAACGGGGTCGTCGCCGTGGAGTACTACACGCAGAAGCGTAAGTTGACTAATGGAAAGGCCTTCGAGTCTGCCTCGATACAGTTGACACTCTTATATAACGCACGTCCATCATTAGCATCGTGGCTGCCCTCGTGCCGCATCTATGAGCCGGGCTTCACCAACTGCTCCACGCACAGCATACAGAAGCTGGTGGATCAAGTGGTCATTGGCATACCGGAAATCGTAGAATCCATCGGAACCTTCGATCCCTTGCATGTGAGGAATATCTACTTTAAGCAGGACAACAATGAGGTGGCCACACTCAGTGCCAATCTGACCGATGTGGTGGTCAAAGGCTTCGCCAAGGCCATAATCAAGGAGAGCCGGTGAGTAATAATAGATATGAATCAAATAATAAATCAAGTAGGAGTGCTATAGTCGAGACAGCTAATCGCCCCGATCAAGCATATATATACTTTATGGGGTCTCCGATGATTCCTTCTGCCTCTAACATACTCTTCACCACTAGCCATTATATTCAATGGGTTCAGGGTATAAAAAGACTCTATGACTAAGCACAACAAATGAGTTGGAATGCATTAAAGATATATATATATGTATATTTAATGTTGACTTTATATATGCTCGTAGCGTTAGCAAAAAGGACTTTGGCTGGCAAACTAAAGTCTATCTGCCCAAAATGCGTATGGATGCGACATATCAAATGGCCGGTCGGATACTGCTAATACCGTTGAGTGGCAAAGGTCACATATACATAGAGATCGGTAAGTGTGCATCATTCAAAATATATCAGAATTAATCATAGTCATGGTCAATAAGCTTAGATGATCTCGATATACTGCTGCTGACCACAACGCGTCTGTATGAGAAGGGCGGCTTCACTTTTGATAATGTGACCGCGGTGCGCGTTAAGCTGAATATATCCCGGGTGCATACCGAATTGGATAATCTATTCAATGGACGCAGCCCAGAAGTGGCGCGCAGCACGAATCAGTTCTTCAATGATAACTGGCGGGACTTCTACGAGGCGCTGAAGCCCCTTATACTGGAAACTGTGGAAAACATATTCTATGAGATCATGTCCAAGGTATTCCATCTGATACCGGCTAATTTCTTTGTTGAGGATATTCCAACGCCCCAGCAGCTGTACGGCAAAAACCAATAGCATAAATGATAATTACAATGCTCATGAAAATAAAAATAAACTCTGAACAGCCCACTCCATGCTACACTTAACACTAATTTCTATTTCTGCCCTCGAATAGTATAGTATGGCATATCATTTACATGCATTTCAAACTACATCTAAGCATTATAAACTGGATATTTTGACGTCAATTAACATGTATATATTAAGGGTAATTAATTCTTACATAAATTATTTGCAATACTTGTTATTTGATTCCACATCTTGAAGGCTGGAAGACGTATCAATGTAGCTCCATCTAAGCTTGTGTTGGCATCACCTTGATTTGCAGGGAAGTCAATTTTATGGCGTATATATACACCACATATATACTACAGACATGGTCACTACCAGTACCACAATAACAGAAACTAATATAATAAAAATCCGCATGGAATATGGCAAGCTTTCTACTTGGCTTAAACCTTCTATGCCATTAGGGCTTGGACATTCCACTCTTTCTTCCGCGACCTGCCCATCATAGCAGACGCATACATCTGGATATGCACAGTAACCGTGAACGCACTTCTGCTTGCCTGTTTTCAGTTACAGGAAAGTATCCTTCGTTACAGGTGCATTTCTCTGGAGCACTACAGACACCGTTCTCACAACCATCTCTACATTCTGGAGCACATCTGTTTTCAGTTACAGGAAAGTATCCTACGTTGCAAAGGCATTTCCCTGGTGCACTACAGAAGCCGTTTTCGCATCCATCTTTACATTCTGGATCACATATGTTCTCAGTCGCTGGAGAATATCCTTCGTTACAGGTGCATTTTCCTGGAGCACTACACAATCCATTCCTACAGCCAAGTGGGCAATCCGGCAGACACAAGGAATTACTAATTTTGATATGTCCAGGTAGACACTCGCAGTCATTTGGGGCCGAGCATCTGCCGTTTAGGCAGCCGTCCTCGCATACAGGATCGCAAATATTTTGGGTTACATTCAGACTGTAGCCAGGCTTGCAAATCGGCTGGCATATCTTTGTTTTTATATTTAATGTGTAATTTTCATTACATATGCACGTTCCAGGTAATTTGCAAATTCCATTGGGACAGCCTTTCTCGCAGATCGGTAAACAATGTCCAGTGGCTTCATCGAGGTTGTAGCGCCGGGCACAATGGCACTTTCCGGGCGATCCACAATATCCGTTTTTACAGTCGCCTTTGCATTTCGGAACGCAACTGGATACGTCGAGAGTTAGAGAAATTGGTATAGAAAACAATTTATGAAAAGGTTACTCACTAAGCACTTGGCAAATGGTTGAAATTGTCGTAGCCCGCAAAGCATTGGCATACATTTGGCTTTATACATTTGCCTTTCCTACAATTTTTACATATGGGAGAACATTCGAGTTTCTTGCCTTGCGCACTGCTTGTGCGGTAATATCCATTGCAGCAGACTTGGACTTTTTTGAGCTATATGTTGGAATATATGTATATATAAAATGTTCATGTAAATGTATGTATCTGTACCATACTTGCATCACTTACTTTGTTTCCAGAATATTTATTTACTGTGCAAATCTGTGCCAACGCGCAACTAGTCAATAGAAAATATATGAGCATATGTCGGACCAACATGGTGCAGTAACTACGCAGATCAACTTATAAATGGCACTGCGTGACAACGAAATGAGAACACAGAATTAAGCTTGCGATTCGCTCAAGAGTTTACACTGCAAGAAGAATGTCGAGCTCAAAAATAATCTCAAATTATGACCATTTTGTTATTGCTTAAGCCTATACGGTTCTTTATATTAGTCTTAGCTTAGCTGGGCACTATATCATTTTTTCCAGTGTTGTATCTGAGAGTGTGAAGGGCTTATCGCAAACTTAAGCATGCGGCCTCTGCCTGAACTTTGGCTGCTCATATCTTCATTTCTTTAATTTAATATTAATAGCAGACGCAACACTTAATACCCTTACCACAATTGTTGAGAATGCGAAATTATTAAACACGATATAATTTAATTAAAAAGGTATGTTAAACAAATACATATCTAAATTTTGAAATAACATAAATTCCGGATAAAAGAAAATCAAAATTTTATGCACTATTTCAATTTAGTATTTAATTGTAAGAAATGTGGCATGACTGTTTTATAAGTGATATGGAATATTGAGTTCAGTGAGAAGTTCTTTTTCGCTCTGAGCATTTTTAGAATTGCAAAAATAAGTTGGTCATGGCACATGCATACATACATAGAAGTTTTCTTTTATTACAAATACAAAGCAAACGGAAGATGCATTTTATACATTAATATGTAGATATTAAACATAATTATATAATATTATATATTAATATGATATGAGGAAGGGCGTTTAAAATATATATAACAAGAACTTGATTATAGTTATTTACTAGATTTTTACAATTATGCTTTTAAGTTTGGCTCAATGTCGCAATTTAAATATAAACTTTTTCTCAAAAGATAAAGCAAAGTTTTGTTTCGCTTATTCAATTTTTAATAGTGTCATATTTTATTATTATTTTTGCAGTGGTGTTTTACATTGTATATAAAAAATTTTGTATGAAAAATTGTCCATTTGTGTAAAATTTCTTCACATATATTAATGCTTTTCATGTAATATATATATTTGCTTGTTAGTATAATATGAAAATAGAAACTTAATCTAGAGCTTCAACTAAATAGAAACAATATTTTTTTTGCTTAGAAGTATGCCACATTCCGAGCATTTCAAATCTACTCACGGCATATATAATTACTAGTTACAATAGTTATTACATAACCAAGACCGATTTATTGCAAATACAAAAAGCAACTATAAACAAATCCACTTTTTATTTACTATTATATACTATATATAACGGAATTTCCGTAAATCGTCATAGCCATTTAATTTATTAAACAACTTTTAAAGGAAGTACGTAAGCTGACATAGAAATTTTAACTACAATAATTTTTTATCAACTTGTAAGCAATCCTATGGCATGATTCACTTAAAATATATTGTACTTATCTTTGCTTATTTAATACAAATTATTGCAAAAGCAAAAATAATAAACAAGATTTAAAATTTCATTGTTTTTATGTAAATTAGAAAAAATATCATTTATTCAAAAGGGGTTCAAAATTTATTTGATTTTTTTATAAATGCATTATATAAATTTATTTGTATTTTCTTCATATATTTTATTTATAATACAGAAGAGTTCATTTTCAAAAATGTTTTTCATTATGCTTCTGATTTTAAGAATTGTTTTTATTAATTTCCTAACCTAATTGATAATCTATAAAAGTTTCAGAAATAATTCAGATAAAGTGCCTAGAGCCCCTCGTATTGCATTGAAAACATAGTTGTACCAAACACACAGATCAAATTGTTTAGCTAGTTCACGTATTTTCCAGAATTATATTAACTTAATTAAACTAGTTGCTGCAACTGCAACTGTAAGCGGCGCTCAGAGCAGGTATCTATATATTCCACATATATGGGATATATAAGATTCAGCATCTCACTGAAATTCTCTCATTTCAACGCGAGTAACTCGTTTGCTTGGTGAACGGAAAAAATAAACATAAGAATATTTATTATATAAACTAATTCTATATAACTATATTATTTTTATACGATGTTCGATGCGTTAGATCTTGGCTTGGTTTGTTTTTTTGTGAGCCTTGTCCATGTGAAGGGCCTGGAATATTATACGGAAAAACGTAAGCTATGTTTTTATATAGTTGATCAAGAAGTGAAACTCAATCTTGTATTGCTTAAGCACAGCATCATATATTGAATCGTGTCGCATCAAAGAGCCCGGCTTTACGAACTGCTCAACTCGTTCCATACAAGCATTCCTTAACGAGGTCATCAAAGGTGAGCAGCAAACCTGAATACCGATAGGTTCACATATAATTAAATGGTATCCCTCTCTTTACTGACACTAAGGTATACCCGAAATTGAGGAGTCTTTCGGACCCATCGATCCCATGAAACAGGATCAGCTGACATTCACACAAACAAATAGCGATGTTTCCTCTATATCGGCTAATTTAAGCGATCTGGTAATACGTGGCTTTGGCAAATTGATAGTCAAGGAAAGCAAGTGAGTAGCTCACAACATTCTCAATACACACTGCACTCAATTCTAGTATACCTATTAATATTGATGTTATTACAACTGTTATATATTTTGATTGATAGAGTTACGATAAATTATAAAAGACGGATCTTTTTTTATATTTCAAATTCGAATTATTTCAACTCTTTATTTCAGGGTCAGCAAAAAGGACTTTAGCTGGCAGGATAAAATCTATATACCGCGCATGCGCTTCGATGGTAAATACCAAATGGTCGGAAACGTCTTAATAATACCGTTGCATGGAAGTGGCAACATATTTATGGAGATTGGTGATTATACATAAATATATATATACAGCGAATCAGAAATATTCATTTATCTAATTCCGTGACAGATGATCTAGACATTCTGCTCAATGCCAAGACGCGACTGTACGAGAAAGGCGGCTACACCTTCTACAATGTGACTGACGTGAGCGTCAAGCTGAAGGTGGGCCATGTGCGCACGTATTTGGACAATCTGTTCAATGGGCACAGCAAGGAGGTGGAGCAGAGCACGAATGAGTTCTTCAATGAGAACTGGAGAAGTTTCTTTGAGACGTTCCGTCCACTGATCACGGAAACTCTGGAGAGCACATTGTTCGATCTGCTGAAGAAGATGTTCAGTCTGATGCCAGCCAATTTCTTCATAGAGGATATACCCAATTCGCTGCTGCTCTACGGTCGCAAATCACGTCTGACAGCATAACATTATTTACTTATTGAGAGGATTTTAGCTTACAATTAAATAATAAATGCAAAATGAACTAATTGCTTAGACTTAGACTAGTCTAACGTAGCATGGCACACTGAGCATCCACACAGCTTGGCCACTCAATAGAACCAATCGTACTTGAGATAGTCGCCCTCGTGCTTCAGAGCCGCAATCGATGTGTGACGCACGTGTCCGGTGCGCGCAAAGATCCGGCGATTGCCGACGGGCTGCAGCGTTCGGAAATTGTCCACCAAGGCGCCATCCTGAGTGTCGGACAGCTGGCGGAAACGAGAGATCTGCAAAGCAAAAACAAATCACATTACATATACGCACTGGGCTCTGATGCATTGGGCACTCACCTGCTTGGGCGATATGGGTATGGGATCGGGATACAGTATCCAGGTGACGGCTTCCGAGCAGGGCGGCGTCGTCAGCGAGCCTGCAAACGGAATGGGAATGTTAAATGCCATTCGCTCATTAATTCAAACAATCAACAGTCATGCAAATGTACATGGCACATGACACGGTGACAGCTGCACTGCTGCACCCATGCAAAGCACTTAAGAATTCTGTGCTATGGGATGTAACTGACTGTCGGATACTCGCTCAATCACTATTGGGGAAGTAATATAATATATAATCTTAATCTTTGTATTGCAATATAATAATATGCCTCAACATACAGCCCTAACTCTCAGACAGTCGGGTGTAATCGGTTACCTAATACTCTCTCTTATATTAGTAACCAAGCAAATTTACTAAACTATTTTATTATCTAATATACATCACACAGATTTTATTGATTTTAAGCGAAAGTTGTTAAAAATCCTCAAAATAAACATTTGGTCACCCTGACAATCTTCTTTAAATATGCCAGATATCATCAACCTAAGTTATGGTCACTCTAAGTTATCAATTGATTTAGCACTTGTCGTATTTAATATCAACAACAAAATATCAACACTCATATATATGCAAAATATGGTCACTCTACCTTTGAAAATATCCAAGATATTGAGAATTGTTTTATAAATGTACTAATCAAAATAATGCTGTCATCGCTTATTGATCTATTTAAGAATATTCCCTAATTATTTATCACAAAAACAAATATCCTCTCTTCTCTCATCTCTGGGCGAGACTAAGAAAAATCAATCATACGCCCCGCTTACCCTTGTATGTGTAGAACTTGTCCACATCCACATTGGCAATCAGCGAGGATAGCGAAAATGTGACATTTAGAGATGCCTCCTGGTTGGCTTCGGCGATCAGGTGCAGATGACGATTGATGGTAACCAGTCCCTGGCCCTCGTCTTCATCCAGCTACAGAGGGAATCGAAATTAGCGTGTAACACATTTGCCTAATGCTGCTACCGGCACTCACATTGAAAAAGAATCCCAGCACCGCCGCACCATCGGGATGGTTGAGCGCCTCGCCCAGCGTTGCATATTTCTTGTTGCGATGCACAATATGCATTTCCATGGTGTAGCGAATGTCGTTGATGACGTGCTCGGAGCCACGATTGTTCTTATCGCCCCAGTGGAAATGCAGACCCTCCACTTCGAACTCGCCGGGCAGCTTAGCGCCCCGTATATAGGGCAGGAACTCGTACAGCTCCTCGCTGCTGTTTAGCTTGGGTATGCCAATGGTGACTGGTGAATGGAAATGCGATAATTAATCAATGCAATTATGTGAACGCCCCCTCGCCCACTTACCCGTGTGGCCATTGTTAATCATTTTCAGCGGATATGGCAGCAGATTGTGATAACCAATCATATCCACTGCCGGCATGTGTATGGGTATTGTCTGCAATAATGTGAGTAATTCAAATGGGTAACGGTTAATGCACAAATACACTCAGAGAAATGGGGCTTATTAAATACATTACAAATAAAATAAACAAACAATTAATTCATTAATTTTTGTTATTTATAATATTTTTCAATTATTGCTATTTATGTGTTTTAAAGTTATTTAATTTATGCTAAGACTTTTTTGGCTATTTTTTATTTTTATTAAGTTTTTTTTTGAGTAATCGTAATACTTTTATATAAATTTTTACTATTGTAAATATGTAATTAATTAATAATAATAATTAGTAATAAAATTTTCTCTCAGTGCACTTACATGGCTGGAGGATATGGCTATGGGTGACTGCGTCTTGCCCGCGCAGTGTCCGTGATGACGCGCCCAACGCCTCTGATTGGGCTCCGAGTAGCCGAACACATGACCATTGACCACTGCGAGAGAAGAACAATGAAATATGTATTGATAGATATGCGGTAGACGGTGAGTCGCATTGTGTGCCTAGTGCTAACCACTAATATTTAGTTGGGGAACATCTAAACCATATCACGTGCGCCGCACACAGAGCTTATCAGTGACATATACGAGCAGTTGTGAATTATTGCAAATAAATGGGGGCGCAAACAAATGCTAACTGTTTGCTGTCTAGCAAATAGATAAATCAATAAATGAATTTCATAAAGAAAGCACAAGGCCATGCTAAATACAATATATGTATATAATATATGTATATATAGATATCGGGCCACAATCATTGATATTGATATTGATACAGATAATGAGCGTAGCAGGTAAATATTTTTCAATAATTTTTTACCACCTGTCTGACTCCACGGTCTGACTTCCAGCCTATGTTATACAAGACCCAACCAATATTTCGTCTATGATAACTGGAAAAGTTAACCCACATTGAAAGCCAATAGCAGAACTGGCTATTAGCATGCATATCATATGACAATTATATATTTCTACACGTCTCAATTAGCGCACAGATAGAAAAATATTTATTTTCGCATTTATACTAATTGGCATTATCGGAATAATGAATTAGAATAATAAGTGGAAAGTAGATCGAAACACGAATTGATCGTGACATTGAGCTAACCGATGTGAACTGATGTGAACCCATATTATCGGCTAGACTTTTGTTTATCATAAATGAAGGAGCTTAATGTGGAAACATAATAATAATAGACATGTATTAATAAATATGATTTCTGATGACGAGCAGAGAATACTTCTATTACTCCTTTGACAAATCATGATATTAATTTATAGTTTCTTCAACGACGTAGGGATAGAGAAAAGGATCGATCTGGCATAAATCAAGATGAAGTCCTTAATAAAACATATGTTTTAGCTTGGAAAAGAATCTGTAACTTAAAACTATATGAAAACCGAAGAAGTAATAAAAGTAATAGTGATTATCATAAAAGTTAAAAATATAATAAATAATATAAACTGAATCAATCGAAACACGTTTACACAATAACAGTCAAAATATCAATAAAAAACCCCTAATGAAATATAAAAATACGTATGATGGCACTAACGCTAAGAATAGACTTCAGGCCTATCCTAATACAACAAAATTCCGACTCATATCTGCAATCAGTATATATGTATATACTGACGATAAGCCGTAAATAAACAAAACTCTTGCTTAATTAAAGCATACTCAAATCGTTTAGCACGATATCAACATCGATCATATGATGATCTCTAAAGTGATCGCTTCAGTTCTTAGAGTAGCTAATTTATTGATTATTTGAGAATTAACACTTGATTATGACTTTGTTTTCTCTTGGAGTCGAGTAACACGATCAGATCACGCAACAGATAAGTTTGTTATGTAAGTTAGGGTACTCACTAGCTACCAGACTATTTATATCACTGAAGTGTGCTTAATCAAAATCAATGACAGCAATAAATGTATTAATTGGTATTTCGCAATTGAAAAAGTTTCAAGTGCACCTAAATACCATAAATCTACGGCAATCAAATTTGTGTAAAGTGTGCCTTTGGTAGTACATAGTAGTACTTCGAACTGTACTATCATAAATTGGTAAATATCTAAATATAGCTATCGTAGTCAGGTAGATATCAATAAAAATGAATCACCGTAGCCTTGACATTTGGTGGCACTCTGTCAGGTCGTACGCCCATTGTTGACTTATCAGAGATAAGAGCTGAAGCAGTTTCGTATGTTCGGCGCGAAATTAATACTGATTGGGTTTTGCCGGGGCACCTTCAGTATTTACGATTATCACTTTTGCTTTTCATTGATTTATTCGATGACTGCACTTTTGGTACAATGGCCAAAGGTATCACATGACCACAGCCTGTTTCCTGTTGTCTATCGTCTGTCGCCTGCCAGCCTGTCAGCTGTTATATAACACTTGGGTATCACGATATTTACGGGCAATTGTTTTTACCTTGAGACCAGCAGATCACAAGAAAAGCTGCTTGTAGTATTAGCAGATGCATCGCAGGCGTTGATTCTTATTACTATTTGTATTTATACTGCAAAGCTATATATTTCAAGGCTTCCTTCTACACTGAGCCGCACTCCTGATCACCGAGCACCGGTAGAACACCTTGCAACACCTTTGCGCTTGGCTGGTCGATTCTAAACTGCGCGGACGTTTAGCGTTTCAAGCACCTTCACAACTTCCCCAAGCGTCAACGAACTAGTTGAAAAATTCGAAAGCTCAAATCCCCGCATATAGCGCGTGCTCCGCACTCTCGACACCGGCCATAAAATACAAGGCAGTCTAGGTGAGCATTGACGACTTAAAGATACCCTATAACTATATACATTTTGGTACAATTTACATACACAATATATTCATAAAATGCTAAGGTTTAGGTACAATTTACTTGTACTACATAAAGAGTGGTAGGTGTTAGGTGCTAGGTTCGATGTACAAATTAAAAAATCTAGGTACTAGGCAATAGGCAGAATGTAAAATGTACCAGCTTTAAGGTACAATATACTGTATTTTTAAGACTTAAGGTAATAGGTACAATTATCCACTAATAAGTTCTAAGGTACAAAATTAAACTACTACTTACTATGATATTTGTGTTACAATACATAATATACTAGGTGCTATACACAAGTTGTTTGTTAGGTACTACTCACAAGGCACACGTTAGTAGAGTTTGGGTGTACAATAATATAGTATGTAATACATATAATACATATACATATAAGAATTATATTACTTTTGACCTGTCTTAAGTTATTATAGATGTGACTTCCTGTAGCGCTGTTACATAATATGACACAATCGTCATACTTTTCAATGCACATTTACAGGGTATGCACAACCCCACACACTCATGCTACTATCAAAATCGCACGAACAACACCAGACTACGACCGACCGAGCACACGATCGATCCATCGATCCATCGATCGTTTTGTCAATGGGTATTGAAGTATTGAGCTGTTGTAGCTTTACTCTAATGCCGTTCGCTTAATGAAATCGAATTTGAAGTAGCATTACGTGCGCCTAAATTTCACTTCAACTAACTGCAGCACACTGTGTAAGCTCAACATTAATTAGAATGCAAAAGAAAACGAAGATGATTAATCACAATTCGCGCTCGGCTAATGCTGAAGGCAAACACAAGAAGGAAACGGCTTTCAATCATTTGATAATATTTTGTTTTGCATTCCAACTCTTATATAGGGCTGAGACATATCTAATGCCTGGTAAATATTGACAGAAAAAAAACAAACAGCTACTAATTATACGCGTGGCTATCAATATCAAATAAAATTTCGATGAGCCCAAACAGAGTCATTCAGCGAATTTTCACACGTTGAGTGTGAGAAGTTTCCGCATGACTATGCATATGATAATGTATATGTATGACAACAATTACATTGCTATCGTATTGAATTAGGTATATTGTATTACGCAATACAAGAAATATATACAAAAGCTACACTAGAGAACTCTAAATTGTTTACACGTATTCAGTTCAACGTAAATAATATACATATTTCCCATTCTGATTTCTATATTCAGCCACGTTTTCATGTGAATCCCAAACATTCCTCTGTCTGCCGCAGCCAACTTAATAAGCTGAAATATTTCTACAATTTTAAGGTGATTCATTTATCATGTTATGCCAATAGAAGCAATTGTGATTTTTCAGTGCATAAACACTTTTGATTTACATGTGTATCGGAAGCTCGTGACATATATGGATATTGCAAAGAAACAAAATCGTGCTTGACAATTCGAAAATGAATGCATTTTGAACCTACATCTACTTATGAGCTCGTACATTATATGATAATATGCCAGACAGTTGGAATTTCAATCGAATTCAGTTCCAATCTCCAATCGAGACCTTGGCAAAAAAACAAAAAGCAAAAATCATTTCGAGCAATTAGTAGTTATCCTCAAATGAACATAATAGGAAAGATATATCGGCAGCCTACATTTTATTCAACTTTGCTTGTTTTTTTTTTTCTTAATTGTGTTTCATAATTCATAGAAATGAGCGTAATCAATTAGAAGTGAAATGTATATGTCGCTTGACTTCCAGTCTAGATTTATAGAACATTTTGGGAACGCGTGATAACTGTTAGTTTGTCGTATTTAAACGATTTAGCACGAACTCTTAATGATAGTCGAATGTGTTGAGTGAATGTGTTAATCGAGAGCACATGATAAGCACGTGCTTGAAATTACAGGATATACAAGTTTTTGTATGTTCTATGAGGCATATATGAATATATATAGGTACTTCAATGTTATGGTTATATCATAATTGAGCTGGGAAATACTTGTATATCTATTAATATCATTTACTACACCTATTGCAATTGTTAATTGATTTAGCCAACTGAAAAGTAGTTCTCTGTGTCAAGCTAAAATTCCCATTTGATTAATAATAATAAAGCTCATGGCATCAATAGTATTAAATATACATTGTTATATTATTATTCTATATGTGATTTATACTTGCATTTTATCTATCTGCCCTATCATTTTACTTATCGATGATCTCTCTATCCGACGATCTGTTGGATCGTATATTAGTAGATTTACCCATCGATCCCTCAATTATATACACCACATAGAGAAGTGGGTATATGTTAAGAGCTAATTCAATCTTAGAGCTATACCCAACAAGTTCGCCTCTTTTACAAAAAGACCCACATATGCCTATGCCCTTAGAATGACTTTGATTTTATAATGAATTCATTTGTTTGACTTTCGATTTGATCATTGACTAGATACTTGTTTTACAATATATCTACACATATAGATCTATATAAACTGTCAGAGCTATGGGCGCAGCGATTTGGCATGCAAAGCGTTGTACATCCGAAATGATGATCACATTTAAGCACAATTATTCAGACATTAAAGAAAGCAATAAAGCTAAATTTTGCTGCTCATGACAATACTTAAGTAATTTGTCTTTTCACTGGCATACATTTAAAAACCTATAAAAAATGAAATAAAAAACTGAAAACGGCTCTGAATTTAGCGCACGGCCCATACAAATAACTTAGCCATAGATATGCGAAATCTTGATCAGATATAATCAAATGAAAGCCCCTGAGCAGCATAACAAGCAGCTCAAAAGGCGCACAATACTTTTATCAATTAAAAACACCTAGATATTGAGATAGATTCATGGCATATTTACACACTAGACAGATAGACAGAGGAGTACTACATGTGCTTCGTTCATGTTCTCAGATACAATCCGTAAAGCTGTCGTCATGCGACGTCGACGTGCCGGGAATGTCCAAAGGCTATTTATGCGGCCAGTAGTTAGGGGTTTATTTTTAGACACAAACCTGCCAGCAAATCGCCGAGCATCGTACATTATACTGTCTTACTGGGCTTAAAAATAAGTACATTCTATTTATATGGCTTATCAGTGATAATGAATTGGTCGGACATTGTCAGTGACGACAAATACGCCGTGACAGTATGTTAAGCTATTTACAATTTTACCGTTTGCATTGCATACTTTTTCTGCGACAAGACATGCCGCCTAAAAGATCGCATTTAACATAGAAAAGTTTCTTTATTCAGTTTCACTTAAGTTATCAAATACAATTTGTAATATAAAATGAGAAAAACCACATAGATAATATCAATCGAACGGAAATAGTTTGGTTGTATACATTTTGGTAGTCTGTGATGAATAAATTATATATGTATTATGAACTTTGGCATATTACATTGGTGGACTTTGGTCTAACAAGATAATAGTAATATAATTTAAAAACCTACCTAAGCACACATATGTGGTCTGGCCAAAAATATTTTAAACATCTAGTCTATAGTACATGATACAAATCAGATCGAAATAAGTTAGATAATAACAATTTACAAACTGTTCCTCGTCACGTAAATATGAAAATATAAACCAATCTCTAATTTGTGGTATACAGAAAGCATTATAACTGGAACTTAACAATTTACGTAGTCCACAACTGTGTCAAATACATAAATATATCAAAAATAATATTCGATGTCTTTGCACTTATGGTCAACGTTCTTTCCTTCCTTTTTTATGATGTATCGATTGTGATGTATTGATTGTGATGTATTGTATATTTGTGATGAATTCTCTTATTTATATCCTTGTCTTTAATTAATCCTCTTTCTCCTCCTTGGCGGACAAAAAGAGTTTTTGGCACGTAAATGTCAATGAATCTAGAAAGTACATAAAACGTAAATAGATTATTTAGCTGTTAATGAATGTGAATGTGCAAATGTAAGGTTTAATGTCCAAACGTGGCGATTGTCAAGGCCAAAAGCCCGCACAGCACACGCCGCTTGTCTACGCACCAATCGCGTGCTGCACCCATATTGGTTTGTTCTTCCACACGATGCCGACGTAATAGAATGGGATGCCAATTAGTGTTATTAGCAAGCCCATAGCGACCTCAAATGGCGCAACATAAACCGGAACGACTACCAGAAAGGCGCACACAACGACAAACACTGCGGGTATCCACAATGAGACCTGACCAAAGGAAAATATTTATATATGCATATACATATGAATATTTGTCAAAGAATTCATGAGAAAGCCGCAGAACTCACTTTAATTGGCCGATCCATATTGGGGCGCTTGTAGCGAAAGTACAAAACAGCCGACACCGATAGCATAATAAAGAAAGACTCCACAATGCTGGAATAAGTGATAAGCACATACACATCGCTCACAAGCAGCATCACAATTGAGAGCAGACACTGCAGGGCAAACAAGTTCAATTAGTCAACTTCCTTTCAATCAATAAGTCAAGTTAGAAGTCAGACAACAGCTTACCAGAAAAGCTAGAGAAGGCAACGGCGTGTAGCTCTTAACACTGATATGAGAGAGCACTGCGGGCATATGTCCATTTCGCGCGCCCACAAAACACATACGCGACGATGTCATAATGTGTACTGAAAGACCGCCAAAAGCCGAGATGGCCACCATAATGGGTATGATGAGAGCAAAGTTGCCCATAATTTTGTTGCCAAAGGTCTACAATAAAATGTAAAAAAAAAAAAAAAACAACAATCAATCAATATAATCTCATGCTCATTAACATATACATGGGTGTACTTACCACAGCAATGGCATTGGAAGCGATCATCTCGGGTGCCGATAGCACAGCCAGATAGGCCATATTGGCCAGCACATAAATGCCAGTTACCAAGGGCAATGATATATAAATGGCACGCGGTAAATTGCGATATGGATCGCGCAGCTCTTCGGTCATGAAATTCAAATAGTTCCAGCCGGCATATGAGAAAATGCCCGAATAGAATGCCACCGATAGCTTGCCAGGATCGGTTTCGGTATTCTCAAAAGGCTTATCAAAGTTCTCCGTATGACCCATCAGCATCCAGATGGACCCAACGATAATGATCAATACCAAAGCCGCTATTTTGGTGAACATGATAACGTTTTGCATTTTCGTTGTCACCTTCATATAATAGCAGTTCAAGTAGGTCAGAAAGCAGATGGTAACCGCTGCCAACAGCTGCAGTGCAAGTTTTGGTATCTCGCAGCCATCGGCGAAAAAGGGCTGCAGCACATAGGAGGCGAATGTTAGACCCATTATGGCATTTGTCGTCGGCCTGCAATTCAGTAAGCATTCACATTAATAAATATATCAAATTCAACAGGAAACAGACAAACAAAACAATTCTTAAGTACTTGCAATCGCGCAAGTGTTTGCAAATATTTCCATTAAATATATATGGCTATTATACAGTAATCACGACTGTACAAATGCATAAGGTATATAGACACACATATTCATTTATTGGTTTGAATACATACATATGTCAATTAGGCTTAATTTATATTGAAAAGTTTAACAACCTCGAAAGTTTCGCCTTGAAGCCAATAAAATCAAAACTTTTAGATAAATTCGGGTATAGGCATGCGTATGACAGCTATAAATTATAAGAATCAAATCTACTATGCTAAACAAAAAAATATCTTTTGTATACATATATATATATATATTCATGAAAGTAGTATATAACGCCGAAGGCATATCGGATCAAGCAAAAATAGCTTTGTGATAACAATAATCATAGAATTTAGTGCAGTTGAGTGTACTATACGAGGCAATTGAAACTGTTTATTGGCAATAATTAACCTGATAAGATAATCCACTTCGCTTGTGAAAGTGAATCGAAACCGACAGCGTTAACCTTGACCCAGGCCCATATTAATTGCAAGCACACAAATCTCTTGAGTTCAATTGAATCTTCAATTGAAAGAGAAGACGCAACAATCGCTTGAATTGCGTAAGCCATTTAACCCAATGTAAATGGAATAAAGAGGTTAAGCTTGTGGTTTTCATTGAAATCACAAAATTGAAAAATAAAATACTTACACAAATATCATCATGGCATCCCATAGATATAAGAAAGCCGGCAGTGAGCCGTATGCCTCGAATATATAGGCATAATCCCCGCCAGACTTGGGTATGGCTGTACCCAGTTCCGCATAGCAAAGAGCACCGATCATGGAGAGCAAGCCACATAGCACCCAAATGACCAGGGAGGTGCCCACTGCTTCCACCTCCTGCAGGACACCTTTGGGCGAAACAAATATGCCCGAGCCAAATATAATTCCCAGTATAATGGCCACACCTTCGAGTAAGCCCAACTGTTTCTTCATCACAACACGACTGCTGTCCGATTCGGCAGATCCCTCTCGCTTGGCATCCTTATCCTTGGTCGCAGCTGCCACAATGCTGGGCGGATTCTCAGTGTTTGGTGTAAGCAACACCATTTCGCTCGTCGGCGACTGTAGTTCGTTGGACGCCATTCTGTCAATGTGTATGTGTGTGTGTGTGCTGAGGAGCTTTAATGCCGGACACGCACGCTTCGCTTCGAGTACAAAACTAGACTGACCAAAATGAACTGAGGTTTAAGTTTGTGTGGTGTGTCGAGCTAATTGATTAAGCAAGCCAGAGGAGTGTCGTCTTGTTTGATGAGAATGAGGAGGTCTCGGTGTGTGCTCGGAGTTTATGCGTGTGTGTGGTCGTTGATATATGGTGGTGTGACGTTTACTGGCTTATCATGAATTTATTTCTTCATTCTCGCATTCCCTAATCTGCCGGTTAACAATTCTCTCTTCTAAATCCATGCATTTCATTGATTGTTTTGCTAACCCACTTCGTAAATCTATATTTGACTCTTTTTAACCAATGCAGCGTCTCTCACACCGTGTTGCTATCTCATTCGCGTTCGCACATGTAATTGACTTTTTGCAAAAAAATATGCTAATTTGCTAAAAATATTTGTACTTTGTGATTTTAATTAACTGTAGGATGATAAATAACAGTTAAGCACATTAAATAAGTTAATTGTTTAGCCAACAACCGGAAGTTTTAATTGAATGAATTACCAATAAGCAAACTGCACGTTTTACGAAGAGCGAATGGAAACAAAAGGAAATTGTTCACGATTCTTATATATATCGATATAGATCTTTTTAGGTTTCAAATTTTATTGTGGACGTCATCATTTTGGTGACCACGGCTGATGTAAAATTTTCTATGCAGGTTTTTACAAATAAATCATTAATATTTGCAAAGCGTTTCATACTATCGCTTATTATTAAATATAAGACCTGTTAAGTCGCCGATAAAACACAATGCGGTACAATTATAAAACGTGGCGGAACGTCAATACATATTCACGATGATTTTCCGATATCTTTGATATAAGCAAAAAGCAGCTGAGAACAATCGATTCGTAGTATTTAAACTGTGGTATTTCTTTGGCAGATTTTTTTTCAGTTTGTTAATAAATGTATTTCGAATCATTTATTTTTAAGCACAATATATTAAAAAATATTGATAGTTTGCTTGAACTTGTATTAAAATAAAATTTAATTTAGGCAGCATCCCCATTTGGCGCGAAAATCGAGCATGTCAACTATGTGAAGAATATTTGAACCTGGCAACGATGGTGTCTAACACCTGCTGCTCCCTTTCTGAAAAATTGAGCAGCACTAAAATTCAAATTTTATGGATTGCGCAGTCGCAAATAAAAATTGATTAATTTTCCGTGGACGAACAGCATATGAAGAAATTACTGCACATACAAGCGCACGCAGCACGTTAAAACTTTGTATATAATATTGACATTTATTTGATGTAAAAAGAAAAACAAATCAACGCATAATTAACGGCTGTTCATGTCAAACACGACGAGCTTATATGAATTTAAGAGTAGCATATGGAGACATGGACACGGACGACGGACAGAGCAATGCCTCGAATAGCAATTGCAGCAGCAACATTGTCAATGTCAATCAATACGACTATATGTTTGGCAAACATATGGAAAACTATAATGTGGAGGTAAGTTAACAGATACTTGAAGAATGGAAACCAGATTGTTATCCCCTCTCTTGCAGACGTCGGCGGTGCATCGAAAGCTTCAGAGTAAAGTTGAGGCATTGCGCATCCTACGCCAAGAGCTGGAACAGTTTCGTGTCGAGCGCGACCAGTACAAATTGATGGCCGAGACGCTGCAGTTGCGGTACTCGGCCATGAAACGGAATAGTGAACTGCTGGCCGGGAATGGAAACGCATGCGGCGCTTTAAGTCAGAATTCGAGTCTTGCTGCGCTGCTGCACGAGACACGTGAATTGAATCTCAAGCTAAACACCGAGGTGGAGGCCCTTAAGCAGCGATTGAAGGAACTACAAGGCGACATGGAACTATTGCGCGAGAGGGAGTCCAACAGCAAATCCCGATTGCAGACGCTGATCAACGAAAATGCGGCCCACAACAAGGAGGAGCTGCAGTGGAAACGGGAGCGCGCAAATTTCATTTGCCATCTGGAGAATCTGAAAAAGAAGAACGCACAATTAGCATACGACCTCAAAGGTATTATTGATGAAAAGGAGGAACTGATTACGGAACGGGATGCGTACAAGTGCAAGGCGCACAGGCTCAACCATGAGCTCTTGGTGGCCCTCAAGGCCAATAAAATGCATCCAAAGGTATGCCTTATATACTAGATGTGAAGAATATGCATGTAACCTTCGATTATTTTCAGTTGCTCGATATTGATGGCGTGCTGCTTGAGAACAAGTACCTACACGAACGTGTGAAGATCCAGGAGAGTGAGCTGGAGCTGACGAAACAGTCGGTCAACAAATATAAGGTAGACCATGAAGCTTTAACTGACATGAATATAGACCATATGACACCTGAACAGGGGAAATAACATACATATAGAGGACTAGACTAATCAGATTCTTATTTAGTTATCTAAACGACTCATATTAGGTAGATTCGCATTGGAATCTGTGATTATACTATGGGTAGACGCCTATTGTAATCTCCCTGGGCGAATCTTACAGACACTAGGCACTCATTTGGCTCCGACTCTCTTATCATAAGCCCCACTATATAAACCGACTTTTTTTTATAAAATATGCTTACATATATCCAAAAATCCGTATTTGTTCAGAACATGGTGGAAGCAAAGCGTAAAAAAGGCATCGTTAAGCTTGGTGGCAGCGCAAATGATGAAACCATATTGAGTCCACGCCAAGGTAAGTTGCTCAAAATCTCTTTTAAATGATTTCTAAGGTTATAGTCCCCTTTTACAGTTAAAACTATATTGGAAAGCGGCATTGATTTGCCCGGCAAAACGGAGACTATACACGATCTAAAATCCTTGTGCTTGGCGCTGCTGGACAACCTGAACGATAAGAATTTGGCTTTGACGCATCAGAAGCGCACCAACAAGTTAATAAAAAGAACATACATATATATTTATATATTACTCAAAAATTAAATTAAATGAAACCCCTTTTTAGAATACTCGCTACCAAAATGGCAGAGCTGGAGCAGCGTTGGCAGCAGCTTCTTAGCGGCGAGTCCGAAAATACCGCATTGGAGGATGTGGACGAGGATGAGGAGCTGGGCTATGCGCCGTCACAGCTATTACTCAATGGCTACTGTGCAGCCATGGTCGATGATGTGGGTCCCGACGAAGTGGAAGCAGCAGCAGTCCCATCAGCCGAAACGGCAAACACACATCTATCCGAGCCATACGATGCCAGAACAACGGGTGGGCTACAATCGGATGACGGCATGTCCTCGCTATCCTTGGAGTCAGCCGACTCTTCGGTTTATGGCATCGATGTGCGACTGAATGAGCTGGCGGCTAATACTTATAAATCGACGTCGCTCACAACCGATTCGGGCAATTATAATGGCACACCGCGAGTCTCCAGCGCTGTGGTTAGGGAGCGCAAGGAGGATCTCAAAGACTTGCCTCCACATTTGGCTGAGCTGGTGCAGAAAGCACTCCATGAATTGGATATGAGGGACTACGAGGCAATGGTCACAATACGCGCCGAGAACGCGGCAAAAATGCATTAGTTGTAAACTAGTTGAATGTTAATTGTGTAATGCTTCCGTGCATACCTATTCATAATAAGCATATCGTGCTTATGCCGTTATACACAATACGAATTATAAACTACATAAATATATTTATCTAATGTTTACAGCGTACAATAAACACTTATGTGCAGAAAACATTTCAGAGCGACAAATACCTATTTATTCGATTTTCAAATATGAAAGCCGTTAATTACGGCGAAGTTTTACAGCACAGTCTATTGGAGTTTGCGCGTTGTGCAACACTGCGCGTCTACTATAGTATACATTTTCTGATAAGAAATTTGTAGCTACTGCAAATGTTATTTTCGTTTCGTTTAGTTTTTGAATTAAAAATGCCTTAAAAGTAATTACTGTTTGCGCCAACCATGTGAATTCAAGTGCCATTAAAATGTGGAAATGGAGCGCCAATCGAAAGCAAACGAAAATCCCTTAAAAGTCGCAGCGCACACAAAGCCAACTGTCTGAGCCAGACCAGTTAGCCAATAAATAAACAGCACACACAAAATCCAATCAGACAGAAAAGTGGACAAAACACTTTATCAATGATGTCCAATGATGTGCAAATAGCGCGCGTTGCCAAGATTGGTGCGGAGTTGGCGCGTCGTCAGCAGCAAAGGGATATCAAAGCCATATCAAAGGGTGTAGGCGGCGGCGGAGGTGGCGGTGGAGTCATGGGCGATGACATTGAATTCGTCTTCGGCAGCATATCACCGCGAGGCGGAGGCGGTATATACGGCCCCAGCGCTGCACTGGGCCAACACAGACATATTGTGGACTCTATTGAGCTAGATTCGCCGGAGCATACGCAGCGGGACACGACTGAGAGCGACAACAACATTTCTAGCTGCTCGACCCTCGATATTGTCAACAAAGTAAGTGACCGTTACGCAGGCATGCACAGACATGATGTCAACAAAGTAAATACCGTTACATGCGTACGCCAGACACGCACACAGGGATACACAGAGACACACACAGGCACACACACACGCAGACTCACAGACACACACACACACATTGCCGAATTGTCAACAAATTGTAAGTGACCCTTACATAGTTACACAGACGTACACACACACACACACGCATGTGTATGTACCGCAAGTGTGTGTGGAATTTTGACACTGCGCAGCTGCGTTGCAAGAGACAGGGTCAAGCTGCAAGACGAAGTGCAGCAACAACGACGACGTAATCGCTAGCGAAAATTCGTTTATTTTCTTTTGAGTTTATTTTGGATTTGATCATGATATCGGAAGAGCTGCTGCCGCGCAGCCTGAGCTGTCTGTGCTGCAGTGACACGCCCCTAGGCGGCAACAGCGGGGGCGGGGGATTCTTTCAACATGCCGAGAAGCGACGCAGTTGGGAATATACTCTAATGGCACAGCCCATGTCACGACGGCCCATCAATGTGAAAACTAAAATCGATTTCATTTCGCCTCTTAACTAATCTGTTGGTTCCTCTCTTGCAGGTAGAGCAATTGTCGGTGCAACAGCTGGAGAATCGAGTGCGCGAGCTATCGCAGCGCCTGCAACAGACTGAGCGCCAGCTCGCTGAAAGCAATGCGGAGCGTGAGATGTGTCACAAACGCCTGGAGGTGGTTAGCCAAGCGCACGAATGCCGCATCACCGAGATGCACTGCGTCATTGCAGAGCTTAGCAAGAAGTTGCGCAGCAAACAAGAGCATATCATAATGGAGGAGCAGGAGCCGGAGGGCGAGGGCAGCGGTGAGTCCCGGATGCATTTTATAGACTCAGTATATAACACAGTATATAACAGAAGTCAGCTATCAAGAGGGTTCCATATACAATTCGGAGCTAAATCTAACCAATGCGGATGGCGAGTGTCAAACGGAGCCATTGGAGGATTTCGAGGGCGCCTGTTCCAGTACCGAGAATGCGCACATCAAGCAACAGGACGCCATTAGCAAGGGACAGCTTGAGGCGCTGCAGGAGGAGGTGCTGCATCTGCGTGCACAGATAGCGCTGCTGCAGGCCGAGATGGCCACCAAGGACAAGGACTCAGCCGTCGTGGAGGATCAACCCAATGTCATATACTTTGCCTGCGATATGGAGGCCAATGAGAATGGCAACCAACTCAATGATTTGAATGGTGCGTCCAGGCAACTCTTGGCTAAGCCTTACTCAAATAACCTACTAAAAATCAAATCCTTGTAGCCTGCGTATCCGTAACCAGCCCACAAAAGTGCGTTAAAATGGCCGAGCGCGTGAAACTGCGTTGCGCCAGCAAAAGTGAATCGCAGCTGGATGCCTCGCCTGACCTGGAGAAAGACCATACAGAGCTGAGCAATGAGGTAAGCTAGTCGCCAGCAGCAACTGCTCTATGCACCGTCCTTATACTCTGCCCTCCACCTCCGATAGGACATCAATCTTGTCGAGCATTTGGTTTGCAAACAGAACACTTTGATGGATACTTTGATGGCGCCCCTACAACTGGAGCTGGAGCGAGTGCAGCGCCAGCTGGAGCAAATGAAGGTGCGCAACACATTGCTCTCGCTCACCTTGGATGAGTCCAAGGAGCACACCGAGCATCTCTATCTGCTTTGCGGCAAATACGAATCGAATGCTGTGGCCCTACAGCTGGCGCTCAACTGCAGCGATCGCGCCATCGAGGCGTACGATGTGATGTTGGCATTGCTGGAGAGCAGGTGGGTATATAACTTAAGTTGATAGATTGATTGATTGCTTGAATGACTGTCATGCAGATTGGCCTTGCTGAACGATAAATCCGCTGCCGCCGAGGAGAGTCGACGAGCCGTGGAAACAGTGGCACATCATCTGTTGGCCCGACTGGAGAGCGAGAAGGATCTGTGCGAGAATAGCTTGGGTCCATGGCAGCACAACATGAATCTAGGTGTGGAAAATGTGCCCAAGCACAAGCAGCAATGGTCAAGCGACGATGATAATCGTCTGCGTTGTCATGTCTCAAAGCTGAAGGGTCGCCGCGCCGTGGTGCAACAGACCATAGTCAATCTGGAGTCGCCATTCTGCGATGTGTTTGAGAAGAAACGGCTGGCCTTGGAAAAGGATCAGGAGCTGGACAAGGAGAAGCACTCGCCCATGGATCTGGAGATGGCTGTCATCATGCAGGAGCTGCTGGACTTGCGCGAGCAAAACCAACAGCTGAAGGCCAAAAAGGAGGAGGCCGAGCAAGAGCAGCAGTACGCGAATGAGCGTGTGAGCATTCTCCATGAAGCATTGAAGCAGCTGCAGGCCAACAATCGGGTGTCCTACTCGGAGGCGGAGCAGGCGGCGCTCACCGAGCAGCAACTGGTCGAGGCGCTCAGCCGGGAAGCGGAGCTGAAGAGTCGCATCCAGACCCTGCTGAACATCAATGCCGCACACAAGGCTAACGACGAGAAGTGCGAACAAATGCATCAGAACTTTCGGCAACTGCAAAAGTCAAATGAGTAAGAGTAGGTGTAGAAGCTATCCAGTGCATAGATTTAACCAAGACTCTTCTTCCTTTGCAGCAATCTGAGCCAGCTGCTGGAGCAGAGCAAACGCAAATATCAGATGCGCATGAAGAAACTGGAGCAGAAGGTGGCCGACATGCGGCTGGAGCAGGAGCAGCTACTGCTGATGCAGCAGCGGCACAGGTTGCCCCACTCGGAACATGTTCCTGAGACAACGCTGTAGATGTTGACAGCGAATCCTTTAAACTGTTTGCTTGGCTTTTTGGTTAATCAATGCACGGGAGCGATGAAGCGCACATGCCCGCCACATATCCTGCTAATTGCTATGGTTCCTTTATATGCTGCTCCTTTTCCTTTCGATCCGCTACTGCTGCTGCTGCTCCCACCTCGCGCTCCTGGGCGGGCCATAAGCCATAGATAGTATCACAAATGTGCCATACACGACTACAACTGAGGACAGCGAATGGAAGCTGTATTAACTACAATTACATAATCTCAAATCTAGATGTATACACACATACACACACAAACACACGAATCCTATATTTATACAAAGTATTCGCATTTTGCTTGTTATACGACTCAATATATATAGAGAGATATATGTATGTATATTTAATTCAAATTGTACAAATTATAGTAAACAAAAACTACAGCGAGACTATGAATCATTTGAGCCCTCGCCCTCATCTTGATTAGTAGACTCCATAGCAGGAGCTTCCACACTGGGAGTCTCCATAGCAGGAGCTTCCACACTGGGAGCCTCCATAGCAGGAGCTTCCACACTGGGAGCCTCCACTGCAGAAGGCTCCTCTTGCTCCTCCTCCTTCATATCAATATTGCTATCATGGGCTTTGCTCTCCTCTTCCTTTGTGGCATGACCATTCGTTTGCTCTGGCTCTACGATAGGTGGCGCCAGCTGCGCGAGTTTCTCGCGCGCCGCTTTTATGACTTTTTCTAGCTCAACGCACTCGGTCTCAATTTCATAGTTTTTTGATACGAGAAGCACCCAATGCGCTTCTAAAGCACGCAGCTTTTCACCGGCCTGTGTTTGCGCCTGTTTACGTTGCCAATTAATGTCCTGCATGTCCTTTTTCAGCTGCTGCAACTGTAGTTGGGCTTTGGCCTGCATGGCTGTGAATACTTCCAGATACGATTTCCAGGCTTCGGTACCGTAATCCAGCATAAGCTCAAGATTCAACGAACGTACCCACTGGTGTTCCAGCTGTGCCATGGAGTTCTCAATCGACTCTTGCCAGGCAGACACCTCAGACAGCTTGCCAGAGGGTGGAGGTGGCAGTTCGTAGCGCTTCATAGAGAGCGTTTCCATGGGCAAACGATTTTGTATCCGCTCAAATTCATTGATCATCAATGGCGTCTCGAATGGCGACGATGCTGGCAGGGGCAGATGGTCTAGATAGTTCTTGGTTGGCCGATAGCGCCGGCATTCCTCCTCCACCATGGCTAGCGCCTGAAATGGAAACGAGTTGTTAGCATACCGAAAAACTGAGTAAAAAAGCTTTAATCACCGATTCTCGGACGCCCACGTCATCATAACCATGATCTATGTAAGGCAAAGCATCAACAATAACTTCATCAGCCATTTGTCTCAGTAATTATAAAAACGAAATTATTTTTGTTAAAGACGAACACACAATATTTTGTTTATATTTATATAGTGCTGCAAAACGTCCATAGTATTCGATAGGCATATATCGTATTTTAAACAGAAATTATTTGACAGTCCAACAGCCATGTTGTCAGAAATGCAACCATGGCCTCTGAAAAACGAGTTGGCAGCACTTTTAGGTCGTTTCCGGCAGCTCTCTTTCTTTCTTCGTTCTTCTTATTAAATAGAGGACGGCATCTGCGTTTGCAGAAAAATTAAAACCATTTATTGGGATTAAAAATCAGCGAAAATGGTGAGCAAATGTGTTTGAGTGTCGTCCGTGCCACCGTATACTGCAAAAACAGTCAGTTTAAAAAGTTAAAGCGTGAAAAACATTAAAAACCATGCCCAAAAACTTCGTCCTAACCTCCACGTGTTAACAGTGTGCGTCGGCCGCGCGACTATTGTGATCTGACAATTTAATGAAATTAATTTGTAATATTTGCAGAGCTTAGGCAACGCTAGGCCATTGGTCTCCGTGTACACGGAAAAGAATGAGGCAGTTAAGGAGAAGAATATCTGCCTGCCCGCCGTATTCAAGGCACCCATTCGTCCGGATGTGGTCAACGAAGTGCACCAGCTGATGCGCCGCAACAACCGTCAGGCCTATGCCGTCAGCGAACTGGCTGGTAAGTGAACGTTTTTGTTTCTTCTTTGTTTGTAAACAAATTAAAACCAGTTTATCTATTTTATCATGCAACCAGGTCACCAGACTTCGGCCGAGTCCTGGGGTACTGGACGTGCTGTTGCACGTATTCCCCGTGTCCGTGGTGGCGGTACTCACCGCTCCGGCCAGGGTGCCTTCGGTAACATGTGCCGTGGTGGTCGCATGTTCGCACCAACCAAGACCTTCCGTCGCTGGCACCGCAAGGTGAATGTAAACCAGCGTCGTTATGCTTTGGTGTCGGCTATCGCCGCCTCCGGTGTACCCGCATTGGTGCAGTCCAAGGGACACATCATCGATGGCGTTTCCGAATTCCCATTGGTTGTGTCCGATGAGGTCCAGAAGCTGCAGAAAACCAAGCAGGCCGTCGTCTTCTTACGTCGCATGAAGATCTGGGCAGATATCCAGAAGGTTTGTACGCAATATTATCGTTAGTTGTTCTGCCTCATATACGCAACGTATTCCTAGGCGGAATCATATATTGTATTTTTCCGTTAATCGGGGAGCTTGACATAATACGTTGCTAGATAAACAGCCCTCCTAGGCGTTACGATTGCAGCCTGATTCCAAGGTGCCATCGTTTGCAGTGGAGGGCCACAGCTGCATCAATTTACATCGAATAACTTATACTAAATGTGTAAAACTCATTGCAGGTGTACAAGTCTCAGCGCTTCCGTGCTGGTCGTGGTACTATGCGCGACCGTCGCCGCATTGCCCGTCGTGGTCCTCTGGTTGTCTACGATAAGGATGAGGGTCTGCGCAAGGCCTTCCGCAATATCCCCGGAATTGAGACAATCAGTGTGGATAAACTGAACTTGCTGAAACTGGCTCCAGGCGGTCATGTTGGCCGTTTCGTCATCTGGACCGAGTCGGCATTCGCGCGCTTGAACGATCTGTTCGGCACCTGGAAGAAGCCATCTACTCTGAAGAAGGGCTACAATCTGCCCCAGCCCAAAATGGCCAACACAGATCTGTCGCGCCTCTTGAAATCCGAGGAGATCCGCAAGGTGCTGCGTGACCCACGCAAGCAGGTGTTCCGTCGTGTGCGCCGCCTCAATCCTCTGTCCAATGTGCGTCAACTGATCAAGTTGAATCCCTATGCTGAGGTCCTCAAGCGTCGTGCTGCCCTGGCCGCTGAGAAGCGTACCGTGGCCAAGGTGCTAGCCAAGGCCAAGAAACAGAACGTCGAGCTGGCTAAGTCGCATTTCGCCAATGTCGCCACAAAGGCTGCTGCCAACCGCGCCAAGCTGTTGGCCGCCCGCAAGAAGAAGGTTGCCGCTAAGAAGCCCGCGGCCAAGAAGTAAACTTACTTTCCACATAATAGCCGACTACAAAACTCTTTTTATATAATAAATAACAAAAGTTGTATGAATTTTATTCATAATACAGTGCGAAAGTAATATCTAATTAAACTATTTAGTCTTAGGCAATTTCAATTGTTGCTCTTATTGATGCCGCGTGTCTACCGCTCACTGGCTCGCCCCCTCCATCCCCTCTCATGGCGGCGCTTATCTTCAAAAAGAGAGCGTTATTCGTGCCGCCTCGGAATGCTACATAATCTTGGCCGCTCTCTCCGCTACGTCATGTGTGGCTCTCAGTTTTACTCGCTAGTCGCGTTGCTTCTTTTTCAAAGAGAGTATTTGCCTCTCTCTTTCGGGTAGTCTCTCCTGCCAGCTGATAACATTCAGTCAGTAGTTGCCTATCGATGCTCTTATCGGCAGAACTTGTGTCATTCGTGAATTGTTGCTGCTGGTGATCTTCGGCTTGCGCTTAGTTTATATACATATTTGTTATATGTTGTTTTTTATGTGTTTCCATCCACTTTTGTTGTCACACGTTAATTGGCATTTAATTAAAGAGCGACGATTGCAAACGTGTTTATTCCGAATTGCGCGCTTGAGCCGAGCGGACGTATCATCTGCGCGTTCTGTGCGCTACCTTTTGAAAAAACGAAAATAAAAAGAACACAAAGAATTCAAAAACCATTCACCACCAATAACAAAGGAAGCCGGCAACAACGACAAATCCGTTGCAATTACCCCACACAAGGAAGGGAATAAGAAGTGTCTGTGCCAAAATAGAACAAAAACAATTGTTCGGTTTTTTATTGCACACTCGAAATAAAAAGAAAGAAACACACACACAAGTAAATAAAATAGCACAAATCAAAGAACGATAATAAAGCGTGAATTATCAAGATTGATGCAAATAAAACGAAAAATTGGAATAAATCAAAACGCGCAGAATCCAAATCATACGATACTTTAATAAAATTCACAACGTTGTCTCGCGAATTACGGGTCGCGACATCGTCGATGATGTCTGGTTATGTAGAGTAGAACGCAGTATATGGCCAGAGCACACAAGCGCACAGGGAATAGGCGAACGGAGCGGGACGCATCTGTATACAGCAGCACGTAAACACTGACAGACATAGTGAGAGCAGGAGGCGCTCTTTCCATGCGCGTCGTATTTTTCCGCAAAGATTGCGGACAGTCAAGGCAAAGTACATACATATCAGCCAGCAACATCAACTTTATATCAGTGCCACTACTGCTGGGTGTCATCATAATTGCGGGCCGCCATTACAAAAGGCCACGCACTTTGAACATTTTACTTTGTTCATCATGTTGACGTCCGTTTTAAACTTTGCCCAATGTGTGGCGGAAATTTCCTTGCTTGGCGGCATAGAAATCGCATCAGTTGCACTTATTGTCTACTACGTTTTTGCTAAAACTCGGTAAGTAAAACTAACATAGGGCATGCATGGGAAGCAAGATAAGTCATCTGATGATGCCGTCGTCAGTGGTTCTGCCGGCAACAATAGCCAGCAGCATCTGTCAAGTTCAATTAATGACGCCGACAGCCAGCTGTACATACAGAACGCATCTGTATGCATGCACTAACAGAAACACACACACATATACATAAATATGTACATACATATGTACCTAAATACAGTAGTGGCAACCATATTGGTACGCCTGTTTTTAAGCTGTGATTGGTTTTTCAACAATATTTACACAATGTAAGTGAAAGCTTACCAGATGAAGATGATTGTATTGGACTTATGCAATCTGTCATATTCATTAAGCTTTAGTCATATACTCTGAATGAGCTGTTCTTATCAGCAATAAGATAAAGATGAAGACAAATACCATACACATGAATTTATAATTCTTGCAAACATTGCATTTCTATAGAAGTTAAAATTGTAAAGAAATCTTCATACGTTAATTGCGTAAATTTCCTTATCACCAGCTATCGTCCACCTTTCCGATTAAAAAGTGGTTCGATAAATTAATTTAAAAATGACAAAGTTGTAATCTTAAAGTAAAAAAGCTTTACTCAAAAACAAACCAATGCAAATTTGTCTTACTGCAATAGATGCATGCATGTATTTACATGTGTATTTATGTATGCATGTATGCGTATAAATTGGTTTTGAAAAGCTTTGTTATATTTAGACACACACACACTCACATGCACATTCAGGTATACAAAGAAAACACTTAAAAATCGCGTAGTGAATGATCGTTCAGTGTTGTTGCTGTGACGCGTAAGTTATGCAGCGCATTCGAAACGAGCTTTTAAATTTGGTTCGCCAAATCTGCGTGTCTAAACGTGTCGTTTTAGGTATGTGACGCATTGCACTTATCGAGCACGTGGCGTAGCCAAAGGAAGAACAGCCGATAGTGTCAGTGGCCTAAGGATGCGCAAAGGTCATTTGCATGCAAGTGCATTCTCCCACTGCTGACGCAATATTCAATGTATTTGTAGTTCGTTTTGCATGCACTCACACCTGTGCCCGCTCTCTCTTTCTCTCTCTCTGCCTCCCACAACGCCGCTCTCCCGCGCGATCATTCTCTTCTAAGTGTGGTTGTGATAACACTCACTGTTGTGATAGCACTCGTTCGATCGTTTGGCAACAATTATCATAATTGAAAATCTCCTCTCTATATGTATGTATGTATACACATACATATATAGCTGTATGTGTGTTCTGTAAATAAACATTAAATGACCAGCTAATTATCTGATTGAGTTTTTGCTATTGTTATTTCGAGTGCACCCCCGTAATCGCTCCGTAAAGCTATTGAGATTAGCTACTTCATAGCAGTGCAAAGCTCAATTCATAATTTGAGCTGATTGATGTTTGCCTCAGTTCGAATTATAAACCAATAAACGACAAAACCCGCGATAAACAGAATGACTATGCATGAGCTCATAAACATACACATGCAAATGCAATAAATACTAGCTAATAAAATAATTATACTTTATAGCCGATATTAACATTTTCATATTTTGTATTTACCAAATTTGATTTTAAAGTACAATTTGAATATATGGAACGTTCTAAATTGAAATCGACTGATGTTGAAATTGGCGTTTCTAAATCTTAAGTAATTCTAATCTGATGAGGCTCTTATTTTGTACTATCATATAATACGTAAATACTGATATATATATGTACATACATATGCACATATACATGTATAAATTCATAAACATATACATACATACATATACATACATATGTGTACACTTGAGCTAAAGCTTGAAACTAAGAAAAAACTTTCCATAACACGAGTAACTGAAACAAATAAATTTATGAGTAATCTGATTTCCTATGTCAGAATAATATTAGCTTAAATACTTGTTTAAACAAATAACACGATATGGACTTTATTATTATTTAGAGTGGTTGATCTAAGGTGAGAATTTAAATGTTTCTTTTTTTAACTAAGATACGAAAATTATATTTTTAGACTTCATATAATCTTTACTCTTGTTTTTTGTTACCAAATGAGTGAGTATTTATCTCACGTACTTTTGACACTATTTCTAGAGTCTCGTCTCTTAGATCTCTTAAGCTTCGAGCGTTGGGATATTGTTAAGGTTGCCTGCGAGAGCAGCTTATCAAATCTGTCCATGTGGGCGCTTTCGTTCATGTCAGCCTCATCCGTGAGTGTGGTTTCGTCTGTCGCGCTAAGGGAAGGCGTCCTTGGGCGGTTAATCATTCGCGATGTGCTCGATATATCAGAAGAGCTGTAACTTGCATTGCCAAGAAACTTTTCGTCGTTCCGTTCGTAGTAGTCGATATAGTTACGTAACTCTGTGATGCGTCGCATCTCGTTGTCATTTTGCTCTCGCAATTGAGCTTCCAGCTTTAGGTAGCCCTGCAGCTTCAGTTTTTTCTTTGGCAATTGCGCCTGATTTTTGTAGTAGTTTGCATAGTACGAGTTACGCTGATCACTTTGGAATTGGCTAATACTCCGATACATTTTCAAAAATATGCTGGGATTGGTAAAATAGTTGGCAGCATGTGTTGGCATTGAACTTGTAATGGCTACGCTACTAAAGCTACGATTGCAGACGGGACACTTTCGTTCGCCATTTGTTGAATTCGGCGCGCAGTTAGCGCAGACTATATGGTGACAGCGACTAAGCAGATATTCTGTACCGGGTGCAGCCTCCCGTTTTTTAAAACAACTATTGCAATGTACAGGAAACATTTTAAGTATATTTTCACAAATAACGGTTTCTCGTTTATCTATCTGGCAACATAGTTTCGATAGTGTCGTCGATATTCACCAGATGATGAACGTCCTTGCCACTTTGTTGCTTTTTATATATACATATGTAATTTGTATTTGCGTATATATATGAATGTATATGTGTATATATTATACTTTGCACACAATTGAATTAGCTTTGTTTTTGTGGGCAACTAATTACTTATCAGGCAATCGTACATGTATGAATGTATATAATCTAGGTTAGTGAACTTTATAAAATACATACGTACGTTCAGCTGTATATAGCAAATTGGACTACAGACTATATGAGGTGCTTTCAGTGGGGCAATCGTACTTTTTATTGCGCACTATTGAGTATAATAGCAGTAACTATTTACAGTGGCTCACACCTTATTTCGTGCAGCAGCATAGTAGAACTTTGAAACCGT